TTGTCAGGGTCACTCAGTTCGCTGTCAGACTGCAGCTCCGTAGGTCTCCTTTTTTTTGTTATTTTCATGCAAATTCTTCTGCTAGTTGGAGTCCAGTCCAATTCTGCATCCTTTCCTTTAAGGCTCAGGGGTCCAAGATTATCCTCTGTGTCTGTGTTAATTGGTTTCCCTTTTCTTCATTGAAGAGGGTCTATGCAATCCTTCTGCCTAGTCCGCCATCTTGCCCCGCCTCCTCCATCAGTTGATTTTTAACGGTAGACTTTTTTTAAAAAATAGATTTGCCATTTCAAAGCTCTTCACATGTACAGTTTGGTGGCATTAAGTATATTTACCATGTTGTTTAACCATCACTATTAACTGTTCTGAAATTTTTCACAGAAGCTCAGTGCCCCCTGTCTTTATTGACTTTTGTTTTTGTTTTTTCTTTCTTTCAGATTCCAAGATCTTTCTGAAGGTGAGAAAAGCCGGAGGATTATAATTTGTGGTTTTTTACTTCAATATGGATCTCCTTGAGGTCAGAAAGGAGCCCTGATGGCTCAGTGGTTCTGTGCTTGGCTGCTAACCAAAAGGTTGGCAGTTTGGACCCTCCAGCCTCTCCACCGGAGAAAGATGAGGCAGTCTGTTTCCGTAAAGATATACAGTCTTAGAAGCCCTATGGGACAGTTCTACTCTGTCTTGTAAAGTTGCTATGAGTCAGAGTCGACTTGACAGCAACAAGCTTTTTGGTTTGGTTGAGGACATTTTTGCCAAATATTGAAAACTTAAAAGTCATGTTTTAAAACCATCTCATAAGCAGTGGTGGCCCTTACATAGGAAGAGCCCATCTGTTACCACTGCTGATCCTTAAGCAGAGGCTGCTAAAGTGGCACAAGTACAGGAGCTTCATACTCACCACCCCCTCAGCATCCTAGGGACCCCATACCGAGCCAGAGTCAGCTCTGCCTGCAAATGCTAGAGCAGGGAGTACACTCTCATTTATGGATGATGTGTGTTTGGTTTTTATTTTTGTTTCAACAAGATGAATTTGTGTTAGTTTAGGAAGGTTCTGGCTTAAGAAATTTGGTCTTACAGAGTCCCTTGCATTTTGCTGTTAAGAACAGTTATCCCTCCCAGAGAAAACCACTGTCTGTAAACCTAATCATTCCATTGGACCTAGAAAATGATCCACTACCATATACACTCTTCGTTGCTTCCTCAGTTGAGAAATCCCTGAAGCTTTTTATGTCTGTAATTCCTGTGTCTACTTTCAGATTGGAGACTAATGGGGAATCAGGGTTCAGGACCCGCCTGGAGGAGGTGGGCAGGGGCAGAGTCCTGAAGGTCTTAGAAAGCTAACCATGTGTGCTTTGATGTCTAGTAGGCAGTACAACTCAGCTTGGTTTTATGGAGGACATTTCTGCTAATGAAGATGGCCATCCTATCAGTCAAGGAAAGAAGAAAAAAGGAAATAAACCTTCAGAGAAAACCCACTTGGGAAAACAGAAAGGTGAGCTGTAAAGCTTAAACACAAAGAAGGATGACAAGCAGGAGAGTGGCAAGCCCTGAGGTAGCCTGGCCTGGCTGTGAAGTCTGAGGAAGCTCTGATGAACCGATCGATGTCTTCATAGATCGTTAGCAAAGCAAAAAGCTCTAGTTCTTTAATGACTGGAGAGGACAGGTATTTTTCAAATATTTCTCCATTTTCTGCAGTACTCAACTATTCAGCCTTACCAACCTGAAAGCTTCTCTTTACTCTTAATGATGTCTTTCAAGGCAAAAAGTTAGGTAAGAGTATAGAGATTGCTGGACAGATACTGCCCTTTGGAGCACTAATTTCATTACTACTCTGAATCTAGCTTTTATTCTAAGTTTATATTAGATCAAAGAAAACCTTTTGGCCTTAGAAATCATTAAATCCACTGCCATTGAGTCAATTCCAACTCATAGAAACCCTATAGAACAGAGTAGAACTGCCCTGTAGGATTTCCAAGGCTGTAAATCTTTACAGAAGCAGACTGCCTCATCTTTCTCCTGTGGAGCAGCTGGTGGGTTCAAACCACTGACCTTTTGGTTAGCAGCCAAATGCCTTCACCATAGCTCCACCAGAACTTCTTAAAAAGAAAAGATACCTAGATATTATTTCAGTTCCATTTATATTAAGATAGACATAAGGAAGGTACCAATCACAGTGTATGAGAAGAAATGAGACCAAATGAGAAAACTGGGCTTTAAGTACACCATCCAGGAGGACAAAACTTTCCTGGTGGTATAATAGCAGAAAAGTCTCTGTCATCAGGAAGACCTTACTATTTCATCTTGGCATCAGGGTTGTTTATTAGTTTTTGTGTCTTTATAGGAAACAAGTTCTTTCATAAAGAGGAAGAAGAAAATGAAGGCAGTACTCAGAAGAGGAAAAGGAAAAAGAAAAAGAAGAACCATCTCCAGACTGAAAATTTAGGCTCAGGAGACAAAGCCACGTCCTCAGATCTGAATGGGTGCAGCACACCAGAGGAAAATGAAAAAATAGACAACAATGGTGCAAGTGTAGTTGAGATGGGAACAGATGTCTTCTCCAGCACTGCGGAGGAAAATGACTTGGAACATCCCCCAACCATCCCCATATGCAACAAAAAGAGACGGCCCAGGAAGAAGAGCCTGCGAGTCCAAGAAAGGGTCCCAGGATTAGCAGTGCTGATTCCGGAGGACATGACTCAAAGTGGCCCCAGCATTGAACGTGCTCAGGAGACTGCCACTTGCACTCCCCCAACAGGTGGCATCCAAGTCCTGAAGAGGAAGCGGAAACTCGGAGCACTCCCTGTCAATGGCAGCAGCCTGTCTATGTTGACCTGGCCCCCACCGGGGAAGGAAAGCCCTCCAACCAGCCCAGGGGCAGGAGAAGATGGCCACCCTGCCCTGGCCCAGGGTGTGAGACTAAAGAGGAAGAAGGGGGCACCCAGCAGCCTTGACCTGTATGACTTAGCCAACCCAAAGAACGTTATCTTGAAAAAGAGGAAGAAGATGAAAGAGATGCTGCACTTGGTGGAACACAATGGAGTGTTGGAGACTGAAGTCAAGCAGATCCACACACTGGTAAGGGGGAGCCTGAGGCAGGGTGGCTGAGGCTTCTTGCACAGAAGTATTTGGAGGACTCTGCTACCTCCTTTGGGCATGTTTTATTGGGGTGGCATGGGAGCGGCAGTCAGGCCTTTGGCTTAAGAGGCAGTTAGAGTTAGTCATGACGTGTAACAGCGTCTACTAGTGATTAGATAAATAGGCAAGTGGTCTGAGTTGTCATGTGCAGACCATCCTGCATCCTCCCCCTTTATTCTACCAGGCCATGTGGTTGAGATGGTAGGAGGGTCAGCCTCAGGCTGTGAATGACATTCTTGTAGGCCAGGTAGGCATGGGACAAGCAGAGTGCATCTTCACTACGTGCTGTCTTTTTCTTTGTTGCTGATGGCCCCTTCAGCAAAGAGAAAGCCCAGAATGCTCTTGCCTTACTAATCTTATTAATGAGACTTTGTTTCCACTTGAGTCTCTAGTACCAACTGTAAATGGGGTCAGTCTTTTCCCACCCTCACCTATAGACATATATATACCACGATTGGCAAACTATGACCTCCAGGCCTGTTTTTGTAATAAAGTTTTATTGGAAAAGTCAATGGCTGCTTTTGCTTTACAACAGCAGCATTGAGTAGTTGCATCAGACTGCATATGGCCCATAAAGCCACAAATATTTACTCTCTGCCCCTTACAGAAACAGTGTGCCGATCCTGTTCTGATCCTACTTTGTAGTGGTTATGACATCCATGCCTTCATTTAAGGGAACTTGTATAGACTTGGTTAAATGCTGGTCTCAGACCTAAGTTAGGTGATTTAGTATATGGTCAGTGAAAAGATTCAACTAGGGAAATCAGAACACTGAACTGGAATTCACAAAATCTGTTTGTAATCTCAGGTCTTTCTCTAACTTAGCTTTGTTGCCTTTATCATGTCAGTTAATATCTCTGGGGTTCATTTTCTTCGTCTTGATTCTGTTGCACTCAACTGTCCAGTGATTTCCCCTGGGGAGAGGGGTGGGGACGTCTTTCTAATCTCCTTACCTGAACCTGAAAGGCCCTGCCAAATGGTGGCCTTGCCCTGTTCCCCAGGCTCCTCCATTCCTGTGCTATGACTCCGTACCCCTGCTGGCCTTGAGCTTGGAGGCTGCCCACTGGCCCCTGTGAGGCACACTTCCTAAGTCTGTCCCACCTCTGAGAGGCTCTGACAGAGCACACACCCAGCAGCTCCATCACACCTCACTTTTAACTATTTCTTCCACAACACCCTAGAACCTTGGAGCAGGTGAAATGGCACCTGGAAGGAAAAGGCAGGCTGTTGGTGTCAGCTGAGAGGAAAATGAGTGATTTCTAAACCTGACTACACGTTAGAAGCACCAAGGTCAGGGGTGGGGTAAAGCTAGTGTGTCGAGACTCCTCCCAGAGTTCCTGGATCTCAGGCCCAAGGTGAGGCCAAAAGCCCAGTCTCTTCTGGTTCTCACAAGATTCCTGAGTGGACCACATGTCTTCTGCTCCAGAGAATCATCGAACCAGATTCCCTCCATGGAAGTTCTGTCTGCCTGACAGCATGTCACACAGCAGGGAAGTGGTAGCTTGGGGACAAGCACTTCTGGGCTCCCTCTGCTCTTTGCAAAGGGTCCTTCTTGACAAGTCACCTTATGCTCGCTCTAGGTACTAGATTTCTCTCAAAAGTCAAGGGTGGTATGACTCTCATCACACTTCTCTGTGGCCAGGCACTAGCTCAGGTCACAGGCCCCACACAAAAAGATGCAGGAGAAAAAAAAAAAAAAGAAGAAGAAGGTGGGGACCAGGTTTGCTGGTCCAATGGAGCCTGGTGTAACCACTGAGACTATGGCCCCTAGCTGCCCTTCAGGTCTGGAATTTAACCCACAACTGTGGTTTCCAGCCAAACAAAGTACAGGCATGTGAGTTAAACATTTACCTCAAGTAAACGCACGCCCTGGAGAGAACAATCATGAGAGAAGGAAGGGCTGCTTATGCACAGGGAGATAGGTCAGGGTACAGAAGAGTATGAAGGGATGGACACTGGGAGGAGGTAACTATGGGGAGGAAGTGGGAGGGGAGCTGCTGCATTGTAAATTTTGGTCAATGACATGAGACAAAGTATATGTGAACTGCTGTGTGAAAAGTGAATTCACTCTGTAAATCTTCACCCAAATCCTAAAAAAAAAAAAAAAGATGCAGGAGGGAGACTTCTGTATTTGTTCACTCTCGGTGATGGTCAGCCTGCTCCTCCATCCTCAGTGTTACCATCAGCCAGACAGCTGTTCTCTTTGCCGGGCAGCAGTGCTTGGTCAGTCCTGCAGTCCACTTCAAGGCTGGTCACTTTGTTGTTTGCTTACTGTGAATTCCAGAAGTTCTGCATTTGAACCCTGTGTCTCTGTGTGCGTGTGTATACACACACCTGCATGAATATTTGTGTGTGTTATTTACAAGCATCTGAAACTTTAAAATTAAAAAATTTTTTTAAAAACTCACTTCCATCAAGCCATTTCCAACTCATAGCAACAACCCCATTGGGTTTCCAAGGCTGTAAATCGTTACGGAAGTAGATCACCCTGTCTTCCTTCTGTGCAGTGGCCAGTGGGTTTGAACAAGTTAGCAGTCAAGTGCCTTATCCACAATGCCACCAGAAAAGGCAAGAGGAGGGCCGTTCGAAAAATGAAAACAGACAGCAACTAAAGCCCAGCTGAGAACATCAGAAGTATTCTCTCCTTTCGGGAATGTCTCTCCTTTCAGGCCTTTGGCACCCTTTTGAGAAAGGATTGGGATGGTCACTAAAGAAAGGTCTTCCTTCCAAGGGATGCCTTTCTCAAAACAAGGAGCTGTATCTTGTGCATCTTGGCAGGCAGAGGGGAAGGAACACCAGAGTGCTGTCCTTCCTGGTGGCACATAGGGTCTACTGAGGGAGGACAGCAGGTACTTCCAAGCCAGAAACACCAAAAACTTGCCCAAACCACCATTGGGACACCTACTACACTGGGTTTCTGAGACCTATGGGACCCGAAACAAGTGCAAGTCTGTGGGTTGTTACCAGTCTGCACAAGACCCAGTGAGTGCTGTGTGTCTGCCTGCAGTGAACCTACAGAACCTGACTCAGACATCAGCATGTTTTCTCAGGCCGGTCTTTTCTCACGTCTCTGGAGGAAGTGCAAATGGTTTGCACTTGCCTACTAACCTAAAGGGGAGCTCTGGTAGAGTAGTGCCTAAGGAACTTGACTGCTAACCAGAAGGCTGGTAGTTCAAACCCACCAGCCACTCCTCGGAAGGCAGGTGGGCAATCTACTTTCGTAGTGATACTGCCTCAGAAACCCAAGGAGGGGTTGCTGAGTCGGCTCCAACTTAACGGCAGTGAGTTTGGTTTGTTTTTTGGTTACTAACCTAAATGTTGGTGGTTTGAATCCACCCAGTGGTACCACAGAAGAAAGACCTGGCAATCTGCTTCTGTAAAGTCACAACCAAGAAAATTCTGTAGATCAGTCCTACTCTATAGCACATGGAGTCTGCATGAGTCAAAATTGACTAGATGGCACCAGGTTTGGGTTTATTTGTTTGTTTATTATTTATGTCTTTGATCAGAGTAAGAATATTGTTTTATAGATGTTCTTGCGAAGGCAAAAATGTTTAAAACTTGGGGTCTGCGTTTGAAGATGCAGGTAATAAAAATGGGGTCATATTGTGGGAAGACAGGAAACCTCTGGACTCCTCTGAGCACAGTGCCATCATAAAGAAGGGCTTGCTTTGTGAGGGAAGGCTCTGCTTTGCTGGTAAAGGGGTGTTGGCAAACCCTATATAGGAAGCAGTGTGGTATGGGGTTGTCTCAGCTGGTGGCCTGGGTCTCATTTTAGGCACACTGGGTCCTGTGACTTGGCCTCCCTTCACATCTGCACCCTCATTGTTCCATTTTTATCTCCTGTGCCCATGGCATGACAGTGGATGTGGCTCTGTTATGTGACCTCTCTGTTTCTACTTCTCACCCCTTCCTCAATAGGGAAACAGTGGAGCATTCAGCCCTTTGAAGAAGAAGAAGCTCAGGGCAGAAAATGACTTTGTGAAGTTTGACACCCCCTTCTTACCAAAGCCCTTGTTCTTCAGGAAAGCTAAAAGTGCTGCTTCCATCTCCTTTCTGAGCCCTACCGTCCAGGTACATTGGGGCTCAGTGGTTGCAAAACCTAGATGACACACTAGAGTCTGTCCTGCTATCCCTCTCAGGGCATACCCAGGGGTCTGAGTGGGCAGTTGCTGGATGCTAGCGTAGGCATCACTGATACTTCCTAACCCACTGTACTCTGAGCAGACTCCATGGTGTCAGGGTCCCTCCGGGAGGTTAGGTCCTCTGCCAGGCCACACCGGTGCTGCTGGCTCTGGGGCCCCATTCTCAGCTGTGTTTCTGTGTGGTCGGGTGCTCCCCTTGCAGGGTCCATGGTGAGGGGACATAGAGGTGCAGGTGACCATACAGATTCCTAGACCAGACAGACTAAATTTTTCCCATCTGTAGGAACAGGTAAAATCTGGAGGAAAAATGTAGCACAAGAATGAGGAAGGCCCTAGCAAGCTCTGTCTGAACCAAGGGAGGAGGAGGTGCTACCAAGGAGACTAGGTAGGGTGACAGAGTGGTGGAATGGGTGGAACTGTTTCCAGAGGCCAGGACGGAAGGGCATCTCACAAAGGGGAAGGTCAGCCCTGTCAGGTGCTGATGGACAGTGTGGTGAGGTGCGGACCGGGTGCAGACAGGCAGCTTCTCTGGGCTTAGCCACCAGGAGGTGGGGTGCTGGCCTCTCACATGAGCAGCCTCCTGGGCAGTGTGGGGCCATCTCCCACTCTGGAGACCCGTGACCAATGAGAACTTTAAGAAAAAAGAGCTACTTAAACAGCCAGGAATGAGCAGGGTGACCACTGCCTATGTTGATATTTATACAGAAGACCTTTCGGGGACATTTGCTTCATGCCCAAGGGCTTACAGAAGCCAGGTTCCTTTCCTGGTGTTAAAGCAAAAAGGGCCTAAGTCAGAAGTAGAGGACTCACAGGAATATGGGGTTCCTGGGAAGGGTTTTGAGGAAGTGATTCATAATGCAAAATGGATCAGCTTTTAGGAATTTCTTGGGAAATAATTTAGTTAATGACTTATTCAAATATCCAAATGATTTGGGGTCATGCATGAAAAAGCTGGGATATACACATGTTTTGCCCATTGAAGTCGGATTCCTTTACAGGTTAACCAATTTCATGTCCTCTCCAAGCCAAAATTTAACCCTCTGGGATGAAATGAATGGTAGTTATTTAAATGTATCATCACAGTTTTCCAATGATGAACTTTTTCCTGTTAATTGAGGGTGTCAGACACCATGGGTGTACTGTGCTCTCTTTACTGAGAGCACAAGTAGAGAATCATGAAGGCAGTGACCAGGCAGATCACTGTAGAGTGATCAAAACAGCACCTGTCCTGCCAGGCTCACAGGATCATCATGGGGTCCCGCATGCATTTATTTATGATGCTGCGGGACTGGGGGACCTGTGAAGGCAGGGTGTGGACAAGGACTGCATGATCAGTGTCCAGCCATCATACCACCGTCCTGAGCAGAAGACATCAGTAGGCCCTTTGGCATATGTGCTGTGTGTGTGGTTAGTAAACAGCTAACGAACACAGCACTCTTTCATGGATTAGTGGGTATCCTGAGAGTGCTCCAGGAAGAATTTAAGTCAGAAAAGGCTACTAGAGAGTGGTCAAAGAACCTCACTTTTCTGTTTTACCCCACTTGTTTCCCTTCTGCAGTTAAACAAAACCCCTTCTAGCTCCAAGAAGGTCACCTTTGGGCTGAACAGAAACATGACTGCAGGTGAGTGTGGTGTTTGTGTTAGGTGTTTCGTCAGGCACAGGCTCTTCTTGTGGCAGAGGGTAGCTCGGAGGCCCCTCAGGGGCAGGTACCATTCACCAGGCAGGCAGCTGTGGAGTTCTGGGCATCTGAGGTGAAGGACCTCAGAGCCCCTGCCAGTTCCTGAATGAAGTGAGCTCTCAGTAGGGTCCCAGATGGGTAAGGAGAATGTCTGGGGACCTCTGGTAAAAAGATGATATGAAAAGCCATTTTCCAAAAATATTTAAGCACCTCACAAAGAGGCCCACTGAGATGTTCACACTCTGTCAACTGTAGCTGCCTCTTAGCTACAAGGAACCATCTGCTGCTACCTGAGGAAAGAGAAGGGATTAAAGTATTTGATCAACTTTTAAGACCTGACTGCTTTTAGGGACCACAGGCAAATGTATGTGCATGTGAGTGCATGCATGTGTGTACGTATGTATGCAGAGGTACCGTCTGGTGAAGATCTGAGATGCTCAGCCCTCGGCTGGGCTGGTGAGGCCTGCCTGGTGTTTATTGCTGGAGAAAATGGGAACCGAACCCCCTGGGGTAGGACTTATTCTATAGCCTCTATATTCTGGGGTTTGCTAATTGTCCATGTTCCTTAAACCCCTTGCTCCTCAAAGTTTGTCCTTTGAGAATGGGCATCCCTTGGAGCTCCCCACAGAGTCTGTTAGGGATGTGCCTGCCTTAGGACCTTTTACACCCTTAGGGCTGATTCCTTGGGGGAGTGACTAGTTCCTGTGGAGCAGCCTCTCTACTTCCATTTTCCCAAAGTGTTCAGGAGTGAATGAGAGCAGTGACAGCCCCAGGGGACACTCGAGGTAGGCTGACAGACAAAGAAGTCAACTAACGTGGGCCTTATTTCCTTCTGGGGCAGAATTCAAAAAGACAGACAAGAGTATCTTGGTCAGTCCCACTGGCCCCTCCAGAGTGGCCTTCAACCCTGAGCAGAAGCCCCTCCATGGGGTGCTGAAGACCCCCACAAGCTCTCCCTCCAACACTCCCCTGGCACCCAAGAAAATATTGACCACCCCTCCAAAGAGAAGACCAACCGCCATGGATTTCTTCTGATCGAACAACAGGTCTCCTTTTTCAAAACTGCTTTTGTACAGAATATACTGTAAATTATAACTTTTAAAATGTGAGTCCTTTTTTTATTGTTTTATAACTTCCCATAAACTATATATGGAAGGTCCTGCCTGTGAACTGGCACACACCACTGCTCTGCCCCAGCTGCCAGAGCGGGGAAGGGCCAGGTGGAATCTCTGCTACCAACACAGAGTTCAAGCTCTGCAGGATTTCAGCACCTGGGTAGCTCCAGTTACCCTGAGTAGGACTTGAGACCTTGACTGTTCCATGTGAAGCTGAGGAGAGCACATTGATCCATTACTTTCAATAAATTATGCTGTTAGCCCAATTAAAGCATGGAACGTCATTTCCTGGTTGGCTCTCTATATATGTAGAACTTTGGTCCTCATTTCCATATTTTCCAAGCCAGTTGGTTTTCTGGTTATATTTAGTCTGTCTAACAATGCTGCTTTTAAAAAGCATGTAGAGCTTTGTTTGTACTCTGTGGGTGTTTGGCAGTTTACTGATAGACATGATTCTTTGTAGTGAATCAGCAATACCATAGTTTTTCTACTTGTAATCAGCTGCGGGGGAGCCTCTGCCCTCTGGCTGTTTCTTTTCCTCCACCTCTGCCATGTTTCCCTCCCCTATTTTCCTACCTCTATGGCAAGCCCAAAGTGTCTTCACTAGGAGGACCAGCACCCACCTCGGCTACACAAGGACCATGAGCCCTGGGCACCAAGCCCTTCAGCTGGGGTTTGTGGTGGTCTTGGTTTGAGTTTATTCATTCTTCTGAGTTTGGGTCTCCACTGTCTCCTTTACGTGTAAGCACTTGAGCCAAGGGCCTGATGGACCTGCATCCCCAAAAGTCTCTTTCCCATTCAGCTTAAAAGCTAAGTCCTCTTGAGACATGGCAACAGTATCTGAAAACGTGCATTCCCTGCGAAATGCAGGAATTGGCCGCCTGTAGGAATGAATGTCTGTGCATATTGATTTTCCCCCTTAAGGTTTTATGCCATTATTTATTTGTTCGTAGCTACTACCTTTTATCTAAAATATTGAAGTTTGCACTAACAGATTTTTATAAGGTTTTTCTATTTTTAGTTAATTACAAAAATCAGGGCTGGGAAGGTACTCAGACTTCAGTTGGTGAAACACAGGATTTAAAGCAGAGCTTAAGAATGTATCTTGTTTAAGGAAATGTATCTTATTTAGTACCTTGGGCCTAAGCAATCAGTGAGAGGCAGATTCCAAACACAGCTCAAGATGACTGAGGGAAGTCCCTAAAGCCCAAGGCTCTTTCTCTGTGGTTCGCACAATAAAAATTTCTAGATAAATCCAGGCACAGAGCACAAGTGCTCATTGCTTTCCCAGCCAGCTCTCTGCTCAGGGATCTGGAAATTAAAGCTGCCTCCCCACGTTCCCCCACAACACGCAAAACCCATTTCTTGCCAGACTCAGGCCAGTCCCTGTCTCTGTAGGCTGCTGCTCCCCAGTTGGGCCACAAGAGCCCCTTAGCAGTACCTCAGCAGTGTACAGCAGAGAGGCCCATTGAATGGCAAGGCCACATTGATTGACTTTAATTTCATTAATTAGGGCATCATGGATGAATATTGACCAACTAGTTGGTGTCTGGCGGGTTGACTTCCTGACAAAGACTTAGGGTAAGATGAGGAAGTGTTAATTTTGTTCTCTGCCTTCTAGAGAAGTAGTTACTATTGTGCTATTCAATACCTATTGTAACACAAAATTTCCTGTACAACCTAACTATGGTGGTGGCTGCATGGTTTTTAGTGTGCTGTGTTTGATATGATACTTAAATTATAATCAAAACCAAAATGATGTATTGAAAAAATTAGAGTCCTCAAAAATATTTTTAACTTTGTGTTTTAAAGAAATGTTTTATTATCCTTGGTCAAATTATTTTTCTAATGATTTTATTTCAGCTTTAAAGATGGGTCATGTTACCAAATGTGCTCTATAACCCAATGATGTTAAGATGGCTTAGCAAGATATTCCTAGGGTAGATATGGAACATTTGTTCTCCAGACTTGTGGGAACTTCTCTGCTTAGCATTTATGTATTATCTGTCTTCTCTGAGGTAACAATGGAATGTCCTATGAGTACACACACCTCCTATCAAAATTGTGCCTGTGAAATTTTGTCCAGGATGACAGCGTCTTGGGTTCTGTTTGTCCTCCTCTATGTCTTCACTTACTCCATTTTGTGAGTAAGTTGAATAGGTTTTCTGTGGCTTATTTTATCAATGCCTAAATTTTAACAACAGAGGAAGAAATCCTTTTTTTTTTTCCATTCTCATTACATATACACACAATAAGAAATATGTCACATAAAACGTAACTTAGAATACTAGTTTTCCTATATGATGCATGTTATTTTCCTAGATAAAATTGCAAAGGGTACTTTTAAAAGACCCAAAAAAGAAATGTTAATGCTGATGATCATCAGTTGTTTTATAAAATGATAACCTCTCTAACCCAAATAGGTCTGATCAATTTTGTACAATTTGGCATCAGGCTTTACAAGTTTATTATCCTTTTTAACTTTTACTAAACTGAAAGCACAAAGAAGTATAAAGAAAATCTGGAAGCTGTTGTTAATGTTGAAAAGAATATAAAACAGGCCATCTTTTCACTTTTATACATGTTTTCTCTGAACTTTGCTGACTACAGGCAAGGACTGTTTGTTTACTATCAGTTTGTATTAGTGTCTGCAGTGTTTGTCAGTATTTGTCAAAGCCAAGTCCAATAAAAAAAAAAGTCTATCTTTGCCCTCATATTTGTACTTAATACTGAGCACCCATATGCATAAAAACTCACCTCTCTAGGTACTGTTATGATGCAACAGGTTTGAGGTGTGGGCATTTGTCATACTGTCTGAAGCAAAATACCTCAACTACCTGTCCTTCTGTCTTATCTGGTATCCAAAGCCGGTGGGGGCTGCTCCCCACACCTCTGAGTGGTTGAAACAATCATGAGACTGCTCACAGACACCCAATGTTGCATCTAAAACATCCACTCTGCAGGACTGTGTGAGTGGGGAGCTGCCAGTGTGTCTCATGGAGCACCTCCAGCTCCCTCCCAAAAAGCAACTTCAGCTCACGCATTGAAGGCACAGTTGGGGCACAGTTGGGCAGCACCCACCACCAGTCAGTTTGTTCCTCTGCTGGGTGTAAGCAGTGAGTTTGCTCGTTGTTGGTCGAACACAGTCCAGGTATTATGTAAACGACAGGCCTAGAGACACATGTTCCTCTAATAAGCTTTTTCTTCAGTTGTGATTTGGGTCCCAAACAAGTCCACATGGGGTCACTTAACCCATAAAATAACTGAAACACTAATAGGAGGGCCTTTGCTCCCAGGTCTCAATAGAAAAACATATAGTATATCATCACACCAATGCTCCATAATTTATCCTTTCCTCTAACAATGGACTGTTCTGGTTACCTAATGCCACTCTGACAGGAATATACCACAAATGGGATGGCTTGAAGAAACAGGAGTTTATTCTCTTACAGTTTGGGAGGCTAGCAGTCTGAGTTCAAAGTGCCAGGCTCTAGGGGCTGGGTGAAAGCCTCTTGACCTTGGGCTTCAGCTCTACCTCTTGCTCCCAGCCCACTGGAGCTAGAGGCATCTCTTCACCCAGGCAGCTACTGGTTGCTGAAGCTAACAAGCCCAAAGTCGACAAATAAAATGGCACAGTCCCAGCGTTACCAAACTACATATTGTTGCTGCTGCTGTTATGTGCCATCAAGTCAGACCCGACTCATAGCAACCCCTCCTTGGGTTTCCAAGGCAGTGTCTCTAGGGAAGTAGATTGCCCAACCTTCCTTCCGAGGAGTGGCTGGTGGGTTTGAACTGCCATCCTTCTGGTTAGCAGTCAAGTGCCTTAGGCACTATGCTACCAGAGCTCCCCCAAACTACATGGCAGGGCATTAATTCAAATCCATTGAAAGTCCCAAGGTCAGCAGAGCATGGCAGGCTGCTGAACAACGACATGGCTACATGCAGGGTTCAAGAGTGCCATAAGGTAGAGACCATTCCCCAAGGGTTCTCTACATAGAGGAAACAGACCATATCCCTAAGGCAGCTACCCAGCTGCTCACAAAAGATTATACCATGGAGTTGATTACCAGTCTCATCGTGGGGAATAATATATCCAACTGCCTAGCCACTCATCCAGGCCTAGCCAAGTTGACCACAAACTTAACCACCACATGGACATTCAAATATCCAATCTTTGTTATAAATAGAACCCAAGAGTTAACTGTGAGGATTCCATTCTACACTCCATACAAGTTAGGAATATTCCCCAGGGTGAATATGAAGTCCCAGAAATGTTTATGTTCTCATGGATACCCCAGCCTTTTCTGCCTTTGCTGAATTCTGGTCCTTTATTCCTTCTCCATTGGGGCACAGAGTCTCATCCTTGATCCATCCCCTTGTAAGATACTACAAATGTCAGAAGGCAAACCTTTTTCTGAAGGTTTTGGGAGTCATGGGAGGGCTTACACTACCCAAAAAAACAAACCTTGTGCCATCAAGTCAATTCTGACTCATAGCAACCCCCTTTGGGCTTATGAGGCAGTAAATCATTATGGAAGTAGATCACCCCGTCTTCCACAGAGTAGGCTGGTGGGTTTGAACCACTAACCTGGTTAGCAGTCAGATGCCTTAGGCACTATGCCACCAGAGCTCCTTGTAAACATCAGGAGGCAAACCTTTTTCTGAAGGTTTTGGGAATCATGGGAGGGTTTACACCACTAAGTCACCACAAATGTAAAATCACACATGAAATATGTCATTTCTCAGAGTAATACAGAGTTTCTCACACATTCCCATGCCTATAGCTCTAATCCTTCTGTCATCAACTGGCTCCCCTGCTCCTGGTCACCCTCCTCCATGGTGGCCCCTCAGTTCTCATTTCACATGCACACCATTCAGCTCTTTCTCACCCCTAATGGCTTGTTCAGCACCAGCTCTGCC